TTGGGTTTATGGTTTGTTGTATGTTAGCTTGTGTTTTTGGTGAAGGTAATGATGATTTTCTTATTCCTGATCCAGATGCCATTTTAGCTTTGTTAGATAATTTAATTTATGCAGAGCAATTTTTTTTGTAGTTGAATACGTTTTTTAGGTGTAGTTGCTGGAATTTATTCATTAATTTTCCACTTTAGATTTATGATTTATATGGTATGGATTGTTTATGAAAACTTTATTTGTGTAAGAGATTAAAATGCTAACAGTTTAGTTTATGCTTCTTGATAGTCTGGGGCTAATTTTAAATGTAAGCTTCTTGGTTGTATTCTTTATATTTTTAATCGTGTGGTTGTTTATATTGATTATATTTACTGAACCAATAGCGTTAAACCCCCCTAGTACTTATTTGTTTCTTAAGTGTATCACTTGGGGCTATAGAGCTTTGAATTACTATTTGCTTTTAAATTCTGTAACTTCCCCTTACCTATCCTGTTTCCTGTCCTGCTGTTTTGGTTCCTTTCCATTTTAATATGCTTTGGGATTTAAATTTGCCTAAGCTTTTTAATTACTTATGTTTATTCTATGTCTTAATTTTATTGCTGTAGCTCCACTTTAATTCTATGGTTATTTGGCACCTTGTATTTTTATTTTTATTTATTTTTAGTTAGTCTTTCAGTTGCGAGCTTTATATAATATCTTTTACTAATAGCTATTTTGAGTTTTTGTAAACAAGTCTTACTACCACTCAAAGCCTAGTCCCTCTTTCCCCCTTCTCCATTTAGTCCTGTCTTTATTTTTTCTCTACTTCCTGATAAGTTCATTATAACATCAGAGCTGGCCTTCCTTGCAAATTTGCCAAGTTACTAATGCTGCCTTCTCTATGCTCTTCCGTCGGCTCTTGCTGTGCATCACATCGTCCCGTCTCCACACTCTCCTGTCGTCTCCGCCTCTTTTCCTCTCAGCTTTTGGCTCTCGCCCTCCTTCTTGCATCTCTCCGTCATGTTTCACCTTCCCAGGCTTCGCCTTTTGCTTCCTACTCCCAAGTCATCTCTTGCTTGCTCTCGCGGTGACCCTTGTATTTCCCCATTAGTCTTCCAAAATTGGCCAGCAAGTCATGAAAAAGAAAAGAAAACCGGTTAGTTGTTTATTTTTATTTTCCCCTCCCTCCCTCCCTCCCTTTTCTTGTGCTAAACTTTCTAGCTTCTAGAGCTTTTGTTTCCTCACGGCCAGGTCGTAAAACAGCTTGCTCTCGTTTCCGGTGGGGGGAGAAGGGAAAAAGAAAAGGATTTAGTACTTGCAGCTGTATATCTTCATTAAGTTTGAGATTATAGTATTTTGAGCTATAATACTTATCTTGTAAATGGCTCAGCAGTTTCTATAGCTTGCTAGTAGTTATAAATTCTAGCTTCTGCCGCTATGCTCAACTGAATCCGGCATTTCCGTTGGTGTCCTGGGGTTCTCCCGCTTCAAGGCAGCTTCACACCTTTTGCTTGAAGAAAGCCTCTTACTCTCCCCTCAATTCTTGAAGGCAGACTCAGGGGCTCACAGCCCATAAAGAGAGGTTAAGAACCCAGGAAAGTAGAAAGTGTCGGAGCAACTCCACACACGTCTACCCTCATCAAGCTCCAGTGGCCATCTTTCCAAAGGAGGGTTAAAATTCCTAACCCCCTCACCGACATATCTCAGGATGGGACAAAGGTTGGAAAGGTACCAAGTGTAGCTTTCCATTCCACCACCTTCTCCCACTGCCATATCTCCCTTTGGCCTTCAGATTAGCTATGGCACTGAGGGTGTTTTCTAAGTGCACATCAGTGGCAGTCTCTTACCTTAGACTTCAGGGATGCATCCTTTATCCTTATTTTGATGATTGGCTCTTCATAGCCAGTTCACCAGGCATCTTGGAAAGGAACTTGTTTTGCACTCTGCAAACTCTGAGTGAGCTTGGGTTCCTTATCAATGAGGAGAAATCCCACCTTTCTCCCACTCAGTCTATAGAGTTCATATGGACTAGGATTGACTTGAAGCAGGGAAGGGCATTCCTCCCACTATCAAGGGCTCAAGCCATTATTTCATTAGTTCAGAAATTCTTAAAGGTCAGGTTTCAATCAGACAGAACCATACAGCAATTGCTAGGTTATATGGCATCCACTACAGCTGTGATCCCTCGTGTGAGGCTCTTCATGAGACCACTGCAAAACTGGTTTCTTCTGGTGTTTCACCCTACCACAGACTCACAATAGAAAAAAACTTGTTGATTCCTAGGTCATTTCTATAAACCCTTAATTGGTGGACCAAGCTAACCCATTTGCTTAAAGGGATGCCATTAGGGTCATATTCACATGAAGTACTAGTCTTCACAAATACCTCCCTAATGGGTTGGGGGGGCACTGTGGTCTACATACGGCTAACAGCTGATGGTCACGGACCAAAGCAAAGATACATATCAATTTACTATACCTTAGAGCTATCAAGAATGCTCATTTCTTTTTCAGAGCTACTGCAGAGTTGTCAAATGCTCCTGGCAATCGACAACATGACAGTAGAATTTTATACAAATAAGCAGGGGGACACAGGTTCCATCTGTCTTTGCACAGAAGTATTTCGCATCTGGCAGTGGGCAAAAGAACACTTAGTAATCATATACATTGCAGAGAAACAAACCATTGTAGCAGACATTCTAAGCAGGGATGTAACTATCATTCAGGAGCAGTGCATTGCCTGACCCCAATTTTTCATGAATGGGATTTCCCCAAAATAGACCTGTTTGCGACAAGCACTAACACCAAAAGTACCCTTTTTTGCTCCAGGGCAGCCATGGACCACAATTCACCCAAGGATGCCTTCCAGTTACAATGGCATGGGCACCTGATTTATGCATTGCCTCCATTTGGTATCCTTCACAGAGTGGTAGCCAAATTGAAGGCCAAATTGAAGGCAGACAGAACCTCCTGCATACTTATGGCTCCTTTTTGTCTGAGATGGGTATGGTTCTCAATTTTGTGGAACCTAACCGGGGGGTACACAAATCCTTGCCACCAGAGGAGGATCTCCTACAAATAGGCCCAATCCAACATCCAGGTGTGAGATCTCTCTATCAGTTTGGCTGATCAGGCCCTAAAACTCTTCTTTCAAGAGAGTGACAGAGGTAATGATTGCCTCATGCAGACCTTCCACTCAAAGGTCACATGGGTATAAATGGAAAAGGTTTGTAGCATGGGCAGGATGGCAGGGGATTAGTTCTCAGACCTGTGATATGGCCAAGATATTCGAGTATCTCCTTACCCTTGAGGATGATGGTTTAGGGACTTCATCTGTAAAGGTCCACCTGGCCACTATTTTGGCTTTTAACGTATCGGGTTCCTCAGTTTTCTCCACTACAAGGCCAAATGGTTCCTGAAAGGTTTAATGAATTTGTACCCACCTGTCATGCACCCCATCCTTCAGTGGAGTTTATCCTTGATCCTGTCAAAGTTGATGTATAAACCTTTTGAAGCCATGGCAGTCTGGCTTGTGTTTTTTATTGTATGAAACAGCCCACACCCTCCTCAGTAAGTGAACTTGCTATTCTCCCATGTGGGACTTCACAGAAGCCACGAAAATGAACACAAGGTTGCACTTACCTGTAACCATTGTTCCTTGAGTGGTTTTCTGTGCAGGCACACATCCCTCCCTTCTTTCTCTGCTGTGGGCTTCTCTACTCAGGCTCCTTACAGTGACAAAGGGAGAACCGAGGGAAGACTGCTCACCCCTTCTCCATCACATGACCATTTGAGCAGGAAAGTCTATGCTGAAGATGGAGGGAGAGGGAGCACTCTTGGGCTCTAGAAACTTCTCTATAAAGCAAAAGTGCAATGCCCATGTGGAACTGCACAAAAGACCACTTGATGAACAACAGTTACAGGTCAGTACAACCCCGTTTTCCATGCTCAGGGGAAAAAATGCTGAAAAACCAGGACAGCAGGAGATTGCTAAATGCCAGACATTATGGGGAATGCACGACATTATGGAGAGGGGACACTACACCCACATTCACTGAAAGTTGAAAAAATGATTTTAAAAATACTTCAGGTAAACATAAACAATCACACTTTGCTCTGTTGAATCTTATGGGGGGGAATCTCATCCAGCTCCTCCTTCAAACTTTATAAAGGATCCAACCTGCTGCCTCTTTTTGTATTGAAATATAAATGCTACATGAAAACAAGTGGGATCCATAATACTTAACATTCTCAGTCTTTCAAGATGTTTCCCATTTAGTTTGTATGAAGTTTGCAAGCAGCAGGGAGGCCTAGAAGCTACCATTTAGCTGTGTTTTAGCTCTTAACTATGTATGCCATTTGGAAGAGAGGTGTGTGCCCTTGAGGGCATTTAAAGGTTGTTTATAAGAATATTTTGCGAGGCCAATTCAGTTTGGAAACAGTTTTAGGCAATTGGTAGCTAGCTGTCATAGTGCGTAAGAAGGGATTTGTAACCTTTCAGCCATATAGGATTTTTTCCTCAACCCAACCATGCAAGAAAAAACAGTCCTGAATGGTTAACTGCTGTATAAAGAATCTGAAGCTAAATCAAATTTGAAAGTTCATAACTAAACTTTTTCACTCGCAGTATCATTGCTTCCCTAACAAGTAATTTTTTCTATGTATACAGAAAGTGGCATTTTATGATAACAGATAAGATTGGGCTGTGTCTTTAAAGCCGTATGACCCCATAAACCTTGGTATATAGAGCTTTCATTTTACATTCATTTGAAGAGAGGTCAGTCACACTGCAACTGTCTTCTAGTTCTAACTTTGTTTTTAAAGAAAAATAGAGGTGGAGGAAAGAGCATGAAACACTGGGGTGCAAATACTCCCATTATCCTAGAGGAATACAATGTGGCATAGATTTGCCAAAAAGCCCGATTTTTCTTTTACACCTCTGGGCTAGCATACAGTTGCATTGTTGGAAGATGGAAAAAATTAACAGGGATTAGTAATTTACATATACTTTCTTTCCTTATTTTTGTTTAGAGGACAATTGAAAGTTATGTGGACAAACGGATGGGTAGTACATATGGACCTCCAGGTGGCAGAAAAATGACTATATTCATTGATGATATTAACATGCCAATTATTAATGAATGGGGAGATCAGGTAAAGTTCAAGTATTTATACATATTAAAACAGCTCAGCAGTGATTACCTCTGTAGTTTTCAGTAGAAATATTTCAATATTTCAATCACCAGTTGCCATGGAGACTTCATCCTCTTCTTGTGTTAAAAACAGTATTGCTTGTTGATGAACTTTTCAGTTATTAGTAGCCTGATTCTATGGTCTGCTTTGCAAGCAGGGTTCCCTTTAGGTTGTGCTGAGTGCATTAATTTTTAATGGTCAGCACATGGCTTTTTGCCCGAGTGCACTGACCTGGTTGCTGGCCATGTGTGGGGTTGGCTCACTGCCTCACATGGCCCTGGGTGGTGGCTGGCTCCCCCCTGGCGGCTGAGACCAGGCAGCAGGGGCAGCTCCTCCTTGCTGAGTGCCAGCTGGCCCCCCAGGCCAGTGCACCAGAAGAAGGCTGTGTGGATGTAGCCTTGGGAAGTGAGTGCCCTGACTCACCCATTTCCGGGCAGCAGCAACAGCAGAAAAACCTGGCCTTCCCCCTCCCTGGTGGGCCTATGTTGAGGCCTGAACTGAGCCTGGGGGAAGGGCCATTGGGGGAAAGCATGCTGTACTGCCCAGCCAGCTCATCTGGCCTCGTGGGATCTCTTGGGATGTTTAGTTTCCCAGCACGGCAGCTGCTTTCTCCAATGCAGCTCAGGCTTGTCATCTCTGGCTGGGGACTGGTTTTCAAGGGCTGCCGCAGTGCTGCTTGCCCTAAAGTCCTGGCTCTTCCCCCCTCGTTAGCTTCACTGCCTGGCCTCCTCCTGCACTCCAGGTAAGCATGCATTTAGAACAAGGGGGAAAGGTGCATAAGATTTAAATGGGGGAAGGAGGAGAAGGGAGGGAGGGAGACAGGCAAGGGCAGCCCAATTCTCTTTACTGAAAAGAAAGATCAACGGGACTTGCTCTGGCAGGGATGCAGGTCCGGAGGTGCCCAGGCCACATGTCTGCCTCCCCCCCCCCAACAGTCTTTGGCAGGGAGTGCAGCCCGGCGCTCCTAGTGGGCCTCCCATCACCAGCATTGGGGTGGTGGTGCAGAGGAGCCAACTTTGAGTTGTGTGAGAAGTAGGCTTGCCAAGTCCCCCTGTGGGGCAGGGAAACCCCGCCCCAGAGGCCCGTTCCATGCCGCCACCAGTTCGAGTTTTTCCTCGGTTGGTCGTGGCCCCACCACCAGCATGGCCAGCGTCATCACGTCACTTCCTGGTGACGTGGATTGACCCGGGAGTCCCCCGCTCCGGAACAAGGTGTCACTTGGCAACCCTAGTGAGAAATGAGGAGAGGCCGGGGAGCATTAATAAAATTAATAATTTTATTAATTTTTTCAAACCAAACCCCCAAAAAATTACAAAAAAGGAAAAACAAAACAAAAACATTAGAAAACATAGAATTATAAAAAAGAAACACAAAGTACAAAAAGAGGTCAATGTTGAATCAGATTATTGACAGAAGACTTGATATTTAGCATGGCCCCTGTGCAAGGATCATAGCAAATGTTTTGTCAAAACACGTTCGCTTTTTTCTTGGGTATGTTGTTTCATAGATTTTTTTTAATAGTCTTTTCCATTTTTTGGGTGCTGTGTTCCTGTTACTATTTCTAGAAAACAAAGATGTTTGCTAGATTTCTCCTTGAAATGCATTTTTGTTGGAGGGCTTGGAGCTTGTGTTTCATGGGCTCTGCAGGATATGCCAATGTGTCCAAATGCAGGGATGCCACATATAGTTTACACAGAGTGTGAATAATACAGAGATTCTGGAGTAACTTTCAGTTCTTAATTGAATTGGCCAAAGCCTGGTTAAAATTTTCTTCAATTTTTAATGCAAATTAAATATATATTGTCAGTATACTTAGAGGGATAGTGTTCCCATTCTGAAAACTCAGAACAAATTGGATAATGGAATGATGACTTCTAAATGAAATAGTGGTAGGAATATGCATGGTTTAACAGAGTGGAGTCAGCTAAAGACTTCAGTGAAAAGTTCCATATAAGATTTGAAATACAAATAGTAATTTATATTTCATGTCTGTAGGTTTTGAATGTTTGTGAACTGTTTTTTAAAAATAAAAAATTGATAAAATGTAGGCCCGCTCAACTTTAAGGCAAGTAGATCTTTCAACTCACAAGGTAGAATTTCTGCTCACAAGACGACGTGGCTTACAGGGAACATTGTCTACAAGACAAAAAAGTGGATAGGACAGGATGCAAGTACTAGTGCAGCAAAAAATGTTGCAGATCATGCTTTTGTGTCTCTGCAACAAAATGCCTAAAGAGTTGCAGTTACCCAGAATGCTTCACACAAATAGAAGTAAAAGGTAAATGGCAAATATTTAACACTAGGAAGAATGCCCGTTGTGGAACTGAAGACAACGGGGCGCTAGGCTGGCCATGGGTGTGGGTCCACATCTCCATCTGGCCCCCCCACGGTGAAGCTGGCCATCCTGCCCCGCACGGTCGAGGCTCCGGCGGGCCAAGGCGCCTGGCGTCGCCCCTCCCCCAGCACCCCCGCTCGCTCGACGCGCCGGTGGGGGAAGCCGGCCAAGCTCAGCCCTCTCCCCGCAATCGGCGCGAGCCCGGCCGGGTGCAGGGCGCCGTCCACTTCCTGCCCCCAACTTGGGGAAGCAGCCCGCATTCCCCCTTGCAGGGTTGAGGCCCCAGCGGGTCAAGGTGCCTGGGTTGGCCGCTCCTGCCACCACCCCTGGCCGAGCGAGGCCCCAGCAGGGTGGGCAGACCAGGCTCGTCCATCTCCCTGCAGTGGGCGGCAGCTCGGGCGGGTGGCTGCGGGCCCGTGTCTCCTTCCCCAGCCCCCTCTCATCTGCCCTCCTGCTGCGCAGTCGAGGCTCCAGCGGGTGAAGACGCCTGGCCTCATCTGCCCCCCTGGCACCCCCACCCAATTGAGGCACCTGTGGGGGAAGCTGGCCAGGCTCGCCCCTCTCCCCACAATGGGTGCGAGGCTGGCCGGGTGCAGGGTGCCATCCACTTCTCGCCCTCCACCTCTGGAAGCAGTCCACACTCCCCCGCCACCCCCAGCCAAGCGAGGCCCCAGCGGGGCAAGCGGACCAGGCTCAGTCGTCTCCCTGCAGTGGGCGGCAGCTCGGCTGGCCGGCTGCGGGCCCGCATCTCCTTCCCTGGACCGCATCTCCCTCTCCTCGGCCCTCCCTCTGCACGCTCAAGGCCCCGGTGGGCCAAGCCGCCTGGCCTCGTCTGTCCCCACCATGGGGTGACGAGACAGGCTGGGCCTGGCTCCCCGGCCGGCCTCAGGCACGGTGGCATGGCGCCATCTCCCCTCATCTGCAGACCACATGGGGGAGGTGCGAGGGAACAGGCCACCCCGGTGCCTTTCCAGGTGGCTGGGCAGAGCCAGCACATGTCAGCCTGGGCCTCCTCTTGGCTGGTGGCGGCTCCTGGCTGCCGCGGCTCAGCAGCGGTGGCATGGCCCCATCTGGGGCCTGCAGGCCGAGTAAGGGTGTCTGGCCAGTGGAGCACCCAGCCCGGGCCACGGCTTGAAGGAAACTGAGGGCAAAAGGGTGGTCACTGCCTCCATGGGCGGGAGGACACAGGCGGCAGCACAGCGAATGGAGAAAGATGCCCTGTGAGTGACACACCAGGGCGCCAACGAATTCCGAAGCGTGTGGAATGTTCTAGAGAAGTGCCACCACCATTCGGCTTTTATTTATAAGGAAGATGAAGCTCCATAATGTGAGAGGTACCTCACCAGTTCGGCTACACTGTGCAAGGTTTTGATCATGGGCAACATTGTTCTTTTGGAACTTAGCAGAATTCCAATGCATGAAAGAAATCTGTGAGCAGTGAGCACATATGAGTTCATAAAGGTGTTCTGGCCCCAGTGCAGTCCAGTATCATAATCACATGGTTTCTTTAGTCCATCATAGAAAATAAAAAGGTATCTGCATTAATATCATATTTTGTTATGAAGAACCATATTATTGTACCCAAATATCAAGTAAGCTTTATGATCTCTCATCTCATCTTGATATATGACTTGTCCTGATCTAAACCAAAGGGATTTTGCACACTTAAATCCTGTTGATTTCAATGGGACATAAGTGTACATATATTAAGGGTAAATGAATCTGTGCTGTGCCTTATTTGTATGTTCTTGGTTAAATCAGCAGGGTTTTATCTTTGCTACTTTCTTTGTTTATAAACGATTCCATTATAAATTGCATAGGTGACAAATGAAATAGTGCGTCAAATGATGGAAATGGAAGGAATGTACAGCTTGGATAAACCTGGAGACTTTACTACGATTGTTGATGTGCAGTTAATAGCAGCAATGATTCACCCAGGAGGAGGCCGAAATGATATCCCACAGCGCTTAAAGAGGCAATTTACTGTGTTTAACTGCACGCTGCCATCTAATGCATCCATAGACAAAATATTTGGTACCAAAGCTTATTTTGTGATTTTAAATTCATTGTATTTTACAGTTCATCTGTGAAGCATTAAAATACTTTCCCTCTCCCTACTGTTAGTACTGTACTATGAGGTAATTGCAGCCTAAACATGTGTAAGACTACCATAAGGAATCAAACTGTTTCTTGAAAAACTTTGAAGTGGGCTACATGTCTTTCCATGTTAATTAGCAAAATGAAATATCAGTTTAATTGCTACTGATAATATTACCGACAATACTGAAGTTTCTCCCCCACACACACACATAATGCACTTTATTTTTATTTACTTCACTTATAGTCCATGTTGCTCCCTGACACTCAAGGCACATTACATAATTAAAAACAATGTAATAAGAGCAGTATAATACATAGAGCAAGCACTGCAATAAAACTGAATTACAAAATTAGAAAACAATGCACTAAAAACAGTATATTACATCCAATAAACCAGGATTGCAAAATAGAAAAACCATGCAGTAAAACAGTTTATTACATACAACAAACAATGGAATACACCTGGGTTACAAGATTAGAGAACAATGTAATAAAACAGTACAGTATACACAACAAGTAAGGGGTCCCGCGATACTCATGGGGGGGGAAGAGCTCATGGGGGGGGGGAGTCAGCAGCAGCAGGTAAGCCTCGCCGATCGCCTCTTCCCCCCTCCCTCGGTCTCCTCCACCCCACCCCACCCCCGGCTCGGACGGCGAGGCCCAAGCAGCTGTCAGCCGCTAGGCCTCGCTGGTCTCCTCTTCTCCCCATCTCCTCCACCCCAC